TTTCATGGGAAATATAATACTGATTTTCATGTTGGTGACCTTGAGTCCGATTTAGGCGAAAATGGTTTTGAAATTTCAAGTTTTCCTAACCTTCGGCCCGACGACAAAACCAATTCGACTGGCTAGTCAGTCGCCAGCGACAAATGCTGCAGGTATCATCTTTGGTTGGGGAGACACTGATCCCGCTAAACCATCTCATGCTCACATACTGCAAAGTTCAATTCAGAGTGTCTATGATCACGAAACTTGTAAAAGAATTGATCCGGAAATCGGTTATCGCAAGGATGAGCTGTGTATTAGGAGCAATTCTGGGAATTCCTTTTGCAGTGTAAGTACTGAACCCTTGAATACAAAAGATATTGAAGTAAATTCTAGAGTATTTTATATAATTATACCTTCTGGGTGTAGGGCGATAGCGGTGGTCCTGTTATAGTACACAGAAGAGTTGTTGGTGTCATTTCTAACGCATTAGACTGTGGAAGCGATGAGCCAGTTGCGGTTTCTAACGTCGCTTATTACAAAACATTGATCGATGATGCTGTTAGGGGTGCAGCACAACCCAGAACGCTTCCATTTATATTAGAAATTCATGATGAATCTGATGATGAGTAATAGTATAATTATTATACGAAGATAGTAGTGGAGGAAGTATAAGAAATTAACGATGAGGGAAAAATACAGAGGCACGTACAGAACTTGAACTTGAATCATACTCATTCAATTAATTACACCTGTTCCTTATATCCTCTGAGTTCTTTCGATTAAATACATAATTGATATGAAGATAATCAGTTTAATGGCTAAAAATGATGAATGGGGCTTACGCTCCATTTCGGATGGACATGTGCACTCAAATGTCAATGATGATTTTGCATATGAAAGCGGAAATCACCTAGACATTTAGATTATTCCAGTTTAGCGAATAAAGAACTTCTTTCTTGTGCAATTCTTCGATACAATGAATTCTTCCACCTTTTTTCGCTCTGGTTGTTATCTTTTGTAGTCGTCTTCTGGTTGTCATTTTCGTTAAATAATTTCACACTGAACTGAATTCATAGTGTGGTAAATGTTGAGAAAACATGAATTTCGTTCATCACCTTGAGTAATTGTTAAATGAATGAAATTGATTTCAAGTGTTGCAGTGATCAATTTGACTGTCGAAGATGCGTTGCTGGGGATTAAGACCGGAAAAAATTAGTGATAGTGGCGACAAAGGAATGTGAAAGGCAGTGGCATTACGCCACCGAAATAAACATGTACGTTTTGACGTGTTCATAACAAAGAATTTAGCCTTTTAAATGAATACACCGAATGGTATCGAGTGAATTGTAGTGTTAGCTCCTTAACTCTGTGGTGCGATAAACGTGAGGTTGGAAGAGCTATTCGATTGGGAATGTATTGTTGAGTGAGGTGATGTGCCATAAGTGCAGTGCCGCGATGACCCTCAATGATAGGGCTCACACACGGGGGATTGAAAGGTCATGGCGGGATCTGAAGAATGACCTTCCTAAATGCGGGATATGTGAAGAGCACTTCCAAGGGTACCTCACTGAACATATGTTTAGACACTTCGTGGAGTTAACATACAGGTTCGACGTTTTTATTGATCAGGTTGCCAAACATCATCCTCCACGAATTACCTCACCATAAAATGTTCGGGATGAGCCTGTTCTCGACCCCTTAGGCATATGTATTTGATTAATTAATTTTTAAAAAATAGCTACAAGGTGCGTAGCGGCGGGTCGCGTCTGGATGGCCGGGGTGAAACGTGGCTCACTCTGAACCACATATTACTCATTTTTGTGTTGTCAATTGTCTCTTTATATATGTTAAAATGTATTGTGTGGCACCCCCACATTGGCTGGTCCCGGGTAACAGAGAGCGGTGAGGTGCGGTATACGCGATCTCTCCTCACAGGGACGTTTCCGACAAATTTAAGAGCTACATGATGACTAATAACACCATCCTGAACATATTGACGAAACTTCAGAACGATCAGTTGTGGAGGAACCTTTCTTAACAATTAACTACAACGAGCTGCAAGTAAAAATACGCACTAATTTTATGACGAGAACTTAGAAGACAAAAATACGATGGCTAAAATCCGTCAGCTAGGAGTTTGTTTGCAGGAAGTGTTGATGAGGAAAAGAAAATTCATAAGTCACGTAGAGAACAATAAAAAAAAGTCATGTAGAGAAATTGATATTGCATTATGTCTATTCCATTAATTTCAGCCTTGCCTTGATTGGCTAGAATTGATGTGATTAATACACACTTGATGAATAAGGTAATGAACTCATTTATGAGTAATTAATTATGATAAGAGAATTCTTCAAATATAAGAAACATAAAACACATATAAAAGGGAGAATCACATCTAGTGAATTCATTCTATATGTTCAAAATTGGCTGTAGACCTTTGTTGTCCAGGATAATGCTGTTCTTCTTTTCCACTTTAGTTCTTGTAGCAATTTCTGACACTGGTAATATATCAATCCCGAATTGAACAAAATACGGTACAAAAACCATAATTTCGATCTCAATAATTCTGTTTTCCTGAAAATTTGATTGCGCAGGTATCAATGCAAGGCGTTCAGCAAGAATGCTCAATGGGCAGCAGGTAGATATCACAGAGGCTCCATTCACAGTGATGATTCATGATGCTTTAGCGCTAGACTCATTCAAAGGACTCATATGCGGTGGCAGTATCATCAGCAAAAGGTATATTCTCACTGCAGCGCACTGCCTTGGGCAGCCTATATCAGATGATGAAGAGGAATATGATTATAAGTCGCTGCGTGTTGTGACAGGCATAAACTCTTACGAGTGCGGTGTCAAAACATATGAAATATTAACTGCTTTTGTTCATCCGGACTATAATAACAACGTTAATGATAAATTCTCCAATCGAGCAGATCTTGCCGTTCTAAAGGTACGCAAATTCATAGAAAAAGAAGAGGTTTTCTTTTTCTATGTAATATTTCTTTTTTTATGACATTTCAATTGTTCACAGTACTATGCCATGACAAAATAGAAGAGTGAAATAATAATTAAAGACAGCGTGAAGGCTGTCATCAATGAGAACCCATTCGGAAGGAAATTACTAATTGATTAGCCACAATAACCATACTTATTTATAAAAAAATGCAATTGTCCATTTGTTTTGTTTTATAATGAGGGTGAAGGATCATATGAGACGAGAACTCTTCTTTCAATACGTCTGCATATTAAATTCTTCCAGCTCAAGGATAGACTCATCTACGGTCCGACGCAAGCGCGAATTCAACTGGCGAATCAGCAGCCGGCGAGTGGTTCTGGCGGAATGATCTACGGCTGGGGATACATTGATCCCGAGGAAACAACTTATTCTCGCACACTACACAGTTCAGTGCAGATAGTATTTGATTTCAACATGTGTCAAGTACTCGATCGAGACTTTGGTCACGTTAAGGATGAGCTGTGTATATTGGGCACGCCTGGAACTGCATTCTGTCATGTAAGTACTGAAGCCTGAAATCCAGAAGATTTCAAAATGAATCCTAGAGTATCTCATATAATTATATTTTCTCGGAACAGGGTGATAGTGGTGGTCCTGTCGTCGTAAACGGAAAACTTGTTGGTGTTATTTCTAACGGATATAGCTGCGGAAGCTCCGAGCCTGGCGCCATTTCTAATGTCGCTTACTACAAAACATGGATTACAGATGTTATCAGGGGGACAGCACCGTTCAAATCGCTTCCATTTACACTGTAAAATTGATGTCCCTTTCAATGATGCGTAATATTCATACTCGTGATAATAAAATGGTATTAGAAACAAACACAAAGCTTCCATTTGGAAGCAACAAGGGTACTCAATTATGGAAACTTGCGAACTTTGAATTTTAATTATATTCAATCCGCATTATTCACAGCTGTTCCTTATATTCCTTTAAGGGGGGACCCCGGTGAAATTTGAAAGTCTTCGATGGATCTAGGGAATTATTGAGCGACTTTAGTTATATGATGGGATATGTTAAAAAGTGGGAAAAATCCCGGACCCAATCGGCTTTGCCCCGTACTTCCACGGAAAAAAAAGGTTTTCTTTTCTGATTGTCTTTGCATTATGCCTGAAAAGTCCTTTTTTTGAATAGTTGACGATCAGAAGGGAAACCCCCTTTTTTTATTTGTTTTTTTTTCTTTTTTTTTCAATTTTTTCATGATCTATATAATGGATCGTAAAACGGAAGTTTAACTTTGTTCTTTGGAGTCTCACGAACATTTGAAAAACAAAAATCGGATCAAAATTGGGGAACGAGGAACGTTTTAAAGGTAAAAACACGGATGGATGCATTGGCATAATTTTTTGAAGTTTTAAATCGTCTATTTTACTCCATTTATTTTCAATAGAATTAATACAGATCTATGCGGAAACTCACTACTAATGGCATTGGTAGAAATGAAAAAAAGAAAAAGAGTTGTACACATAAAGAAAGGGTTAGATGGCTTCTACCAAAAAGGCTCGAACCCCTGCTTGTTTTTTACCATTTCGATGGAATCCATTTAATGGCGACTTTTGTCGATTTCCTAATTTTGGGTGGAAATGCCTAGAACTGTCAAGAAACATGAAAAAGTGATTTTTTAATGAAATGTTTGCATGTATGGACGTGTGTGCGATGTTCCTCCGATGTAAATCCGTGACATGTCTCTAAAAATGAAACTCTTTTTCTCTGTATTAAAATCAATAAATCGTGATTCATTACCTAATTATGAAGTCACGCGCAGAACTTGATTTTATGTTATATCCATTCTATTAATCTTAGCCTTCTCCAACTTTTCCCGAATTAGTTTGATCAGGCACTGACTTAATAAGTCAATGAACTTATTGAATATGAATGACTAATAATGATAAGAGCAGAGCCGCAAGCTAATTATGAAGCATATAAAAGCGAGGATTATATGAAATAAATTCATTAAATACATTCTAGATTTCTCTTAATCCTTTAACCTTAATTAACCACAATGCGATTCTCCTTCGGTATTTTGGCTTTTCTAGCCATCTCCAACACTGGTCAGTCATACACTGTTAAAAATTTCTGTCTGAAATTTCCGGTACACTTTTTGGAAATTTTTATGGAATTTAATTACCACTGAAATTTCAAGGAATTTCATCATTGAAAGTTCAGAGTTTCGTGGAAAAATCAAAGAGAACTGTAAATTTCAGTTCCATTTTCCCTGAAAATAAATATAAAACCAGAAAATTTCGATAAATATATTCTGCAATTTTCAGGACAGTGACACCGAATGCGATGTAGGGCAAAAAATAATGAAATTTCAGATTTTACTGAAAATTCTATGTAATTTGGTACTGAATGTTCATATTAGATTGGAAATTCAAATTAAGTTCGGAATTCTCGTCTTTATGCTGCTTAAAATTATGAAATTTTACTGAATTTTCAGTGAAACCTGAAATTTCATGATTTGTTTTCCCTTAAATCGCATTTAGTATCACTGTCCTGAAAATGATTAGTCAACTGTCCATGAAATACCATTTTTTTCCAACAGTGTACTGAAATATATCAATTGAAGTGAACAAAATTCAATACAAAAAATATCATTTCGACCTGAACAGTTCGGTTTTTCTGAAAATGTGATTGCGCAGGTATCAATGCAAAGCGTTCAGCGAGAATGCTCAACGGGCAGCAGATAGACATCACAGAGGCTCCATTCACAGTGATGATTCATGTCGCGGAAGCGCTACATTCAATCAATGGACTCGTATGCGGTGGTAGTATCATCGGCAGACGACACATTCTCACTGCAGCGCATTGTCTTGCACAGTATATTTCTGATTATGAACTAATGTTTGATTATGAGTGGCTGCATGTCATAGCAGGCGTAACCGGTCATCAGTGTGGTGTTAGAACATTTGAGATACTGCATGCATATGTTCATCCGGACTTCACGGGCAATCTTCATGATACAGAGAATAATAAAGCAGATATTGCAGTTCTGAAGGTACGCACCTTCACAGACAATAGTATTTTGTGTGACTAGTGCGTAAAGTTCCACTTTTTCACACGCACGTGTAACACATCCTTTTTTTGTGAACCAGTCGAGTTCACTCTTCGGTACGGTAGTGGGGGTAATGTGGTTGTTTTTCTGCACGAGTGCGCAAAGTTCAAGAGCTTCGCTTTACGCACTCGAAATTGACTTTACGCACGGTAAACCGTTTCGAAAAGTGCAGTTCTGAGGCAAGTATCGCGGAAAAAAAAAATACTTGAATTGAGTATAAAATATACTTGATTCAAGTATACTTGATTCGAGTACACGGAGAGAAATTTTCTAGAAAAATTCTAGTACGAGTACTGGAAAAAATCACAATCCACCGGCTGTGAAAAATTCTAGTGCTGTTAAGGTAAAATTTCTTGGTATTTCTGGTAAAATTTCTGGGGATTACGGGGAAATTACCGGCAAAAATTCATGTTTTCTCCAATAAAATTCCTAGTGCCAGCATTGGAATTTTTTCCTGGCCGTCACTTTGCGCCTCTTTTCCCGTGCTAGCACTAGAATTTTTCTAAAAAATTTCTCTCCGTGTATAAAATATACTTGATTCAAGTATATTTTTTTCCGCGATCACAAAAAGAAAATTCTAGTATACAGGGGAACGCATCGAAGAAAAAAATAATCCTGTCAATCAAATTTGCTTCAGATAAGAATATATAGTGAGATTTTGTGTGGAAACTTTGGGCTACTTGTTTGTCTGAAAATAATTGAATACTGAAGATCAGGTGAGGAGAGAACTTTTCTTTCATAAAATCTAAACTTTGCATTCTTCCAGCTTAAGGATAGAATAATCTACCGCTCGACACATAGACGAATTGACCTCGCGAGTCACCAACCACCGACCAATGCTCAAGGTTTCATCTACGGTTGGGGATACACTGATATTAATGCACAATCCCCTTCTAACACACTACAAAAAACTGTTGTCAAAATATATGATTATGAAACTTGTCAAGGACTTGATCGAGCCTTCGGTTACGTTAAGGATGAGCTGTGTATGAAGGGTAATCCTGATGGGACTTCGGCCTGTGCGGTAGGTGCTAAATCTTTGATTATAGTCCAGTCTCCGTACAAGATACTTTCGTACAAGATGCTAGGCCGGAATCCGTGCCAAGTGATACGTTTTCCTTTCATATTCTCCGTACAAAATACTCGACAAAGGGGCTTGAATTGAGTGGGAACGGTGTTGAGATATTGCCGAAATTACACGGAAAGAAATTTTCAATAAAAATTAGACCTCCAGAGGGCCAAACGTGGGACGAAATGACATTCAACCACTTTTTAGGTTAAGTTTTGTCGGAAAGATGAGACTAAGGAGTCTAATTTTTGCGATTAAATTAATCTTCGTCACACGTTTCGCCCTCTGGAGGTCTAATTTTTATCGAAAATTTCTTTCCGTGTACTGAAAATATTTGCATCTATGATCTAGAACTTAATGGCACGTCAATTGAACTCCAAAACGGAGGGCCACTCGTTACATTTAATAAAAAAAATAAACGCATGGGTCATAACACTTGGTGAAATATCTATTTTTAAAAATGTATTGAACCATGCGTTTTATGCCTATCTTTGGATGGATAGATAGGCAAAACAAATTAAAATTCTAATGAAAATCTCAATTTTGCCTCGCAGGCCCCTATTAATAAAATAACTTATTCCGAGTTTCTAAATTGTTATTTTGAAACAGAACAAAACCTGCTCATCAACCATTCGTGTTTCACATCAGGAATCGTAGTCAAATAATCATGAAAAATGGAAATCGTCTAGTATTTTACAAAGAAAATCAAATCAAAATATTTTCTTCTCTGAGCGCAAGTAAAGTGGGGAACACGTAATTCTCGGAAATTCATTCCTCTACATTCCCTGTGGTATCTTGTACGCAGATAGGACTGTAATAAGGTATCGCAATTAATCCTAGAGTATTGTATATAATTGTATGTTGTTGAGACAGGGTGATAGCGGTGGTCCTCTCGTCGTAGACGGAAAACTTGTTGGTATCATTTCTAACGGATATGAATGCGGAAGCCCTGAGCCTTCCGCCATTTGTAACGTCGCCTATTACAAACCATGGATTGAAGATGCTATCAGGGGGATAGCACAATCTAGAACGCTACCATTCACCACAATAACTGATCATGCACCTCCCAGTGGTGCCCAGTGCTAGTAGTTATAATGATGAAATAATGATGGAAAAAGTACTAAAAATGTGTAATAAATTATTGAAACCTTTTCGAAATTTAAAGTTGAATTATTTTCAGTCTATTAATTACACCTGTTCTTCGGATTACCTGAATTCTCTCGATTGAATACACAATTGATAAAGCAATGATTAAATCAATGAATAAGAACGATAACAGGAAATCACACTTCATTTCGGATAAACATGTTCTTCCATATGTCTACGTAGGAATCTAATTACGTGTAGGGCCTGAGCTGGAGAGTATATTACTATATATTTATAAGACGTTTTCGTGAAATTCCTTTCCCAATATTTGCAACTTGCAACTTGCAAAAATATTTGAAATTTCGGAGGGATAGTTGTATTTATGACTGTAGTTAGAAATAGTTGTACATAAATTATTTAGAACTATAGGTATTTTTAACTGTATTTTATAGTATGGCTGCAGTAATACCTATGAACAGAGTTAAATTATAGCCCAATAGGTCGGCAACAGAAAACGTTAGATGCATTTTTTGCAAAGGGATATTAGTTGGATAACTTCAGTAGTTTTCGTCAAACTTTTAAGTACGATATAAATTTTTCCCAATTCTGTCTCCTAAAATTTAGTGCCAATAATTCTCCCGACAAAAATTTTGTTTTCAAAAAATTATCGCCGTTTCGGCGAGTCTTTTCAACGGAAGAAGTATGAAACTTTTTAGGTTAAATTTTTCCATCTATATTTGCTCTAAATGATCAAATACCCAGAATCGATAATTCAAGAGACCGGAAACTAAACGTGATAAGAACGACCTCCGAGGCATATAATGGCGAGTATAAAAGCGAGAATCGTTCAAATATTAGGAGAATTATTCAGTATTTCTTGTGAAACTCTTCGGAACCATGCAGTATTCTCTCGTCATTTTGGCTCTTTTTGCCATCTCCAAAACTTGTGAGTCTCATGATGAATTCTCGCAATGACAAGCCAAACTTAGCTCTTCATAATGAGTATTACCGCAAAATCTTATTTATTATTATTTTGCTTCCGAATAGAATCTTTGTAATCGTCCGATTTTCACATTTTCTAATTTTGATTGGAAATTATGTTGAATGGTCTGAAACGTCAAAATAAGAAGTTTGGCGACGAATTCCATTTTTAGAAAATCACGTAATTAAGTGGCTAAAGGCATTCCAAGAAATCAGTTCAAAGAATATTATAGATATATAAAGAATAATGGTGCAATTTGTTATATTCTAAAAAAGGAAATTAGCTGTGTAAGAGTCGAATTTCAGAAAACTAGAGCGTAAGTGTTATTGTACACATTTTTACAAAAAATTTTGAAAAAAAACCTCTGTAGCTCAAAAGTTGGAGGCCCTGGATTACTTTAAATATTTCAAACCTTTACGGAGCAAACGAACAATACACAATCAATTTTTTGCACTAATCATTCGTTTTTGGACACATAATCGATCTTCATTGCATGAAAAATCTCACTCCAATAACCCGCGAGTGTTAAAACTCATACTAGTCTGCCCTTGAATTAAACTTATCTATAGCACCCGTCGAGGTGGCAATAATGATCTGAAATTTTAACTGCTAGTTAGTGTCCTCACGTTACAAAGTTTTGAGAAATGTTATGCCATTCGGAAGCCCGCATGTATTGACGGCGAAAAACGTACGACGTCCATACAGATGATGTATGGACCCATCCGAAACCGCATGACTACTTCCCAAAATTGAATATTTTCGAAACTATTGTATAAATAATGCAATCAGAGAAACATAATTCGAAAGCTGAATAGTGTAGCTTTAATCTCATAAGTTTTCATCCACAGAGAGAAATGTTCATAACTCTGAAAATTTAAGTGACGGTATCGTAATTTTTCACAGAAGATTCAGATAAGAATTACGGAACACTCTGGAAAAATTCCGTGACAGTTCCGTAAAATTTCCTACAACCACATTTCACTCCGAAATTACGGAAAAGATACGTAATTTTTATTGAATATTTCTCTCCGTGTCCACGGAAGTCATCGAATCTCGATAAGATTGAGCCCACGTTATACACGTGGTAACAGAAGGGCCCCGTACGTGAGGGGTTAAAACATCACTCAGTGATATGCTAGCTGTCCCTTGCATGTTTTTTATTGAGTTTGTGCATGTTCAGGTGTCAATGCAAAATCTCCAGCGAAAATCGTGGGTGGAAAGCGAGTGAATATCCCGGATATTCCATCCATCGTGATGATTCGTCATATTAAATCGCACAACGCGACCCATGCAGCTATTTGTGGTGGTACCATAATCAGCTCTTGGCACATTCTCACAGCAGCGCACTGCTTCGAAACGAATGCCTCAGATCCTGAGGACTTAGCTCACCCCCGTTGGTATCAGGTCATCGCAGGGAAGAATTCTTACCGCTCGAATGCTAAAACCTATGAAATTGAGGAAGTTTATTCTCATCCCAATTTCACTGGAACACTGACCAACGAGGATGGCGATAGAGCAGACATTGCAGTTATCAAAGTAAATATCTTTCATCAAATTAATACGTGATCCCAGTGACGTCCAATGTCTTTCCATTTTCCATGCATTAATGCATTAGTGTAAACATTTTTCAAAAATTAACATGCCTCTGAAGACGCCCTACATAGAGTCATTAACTATTAACGAATATTCATTTGGTCATATTCAACTCTACCATTCGTTAATAGTTATTATGAATATTCAGTTGTTGTACGAATATTCATTTGGTCATGTTCAACTCTACCATTCGTTAATAGTTAACGAATGGTTCACTCGAAAAGTGAAAATCGAGTCAAACCAGGCTCCTCAAATGTGCATTCGTTAACTATTAACGAATGAAGATTGTAATACATTACAACAATTATGATTTAATAATCATACAAAACTATTACTTCAAATTGTCGGATTCGTGATTATCAACCCAATTAACTAATATTTTATTTTACACCATATATAACTGATTTTTATTCAGAGTTCAATTAATTCAAATTAAGGTGGTTCATAATTAATGAAATATTATTTGTATTAATCGCTACTTGGTCAGAAAGATTTTTGAAATTATTTGTAATTATAGTAATAATATCTCGTTTCATAACAGATACCCAATAGGGATTAAAAATGAATCAATCGTCGGTAGCACCACTGTTGCAATGGATCATGTGATTATGCATCATGTGATTGAAAAAGACAGGCGTGAACAAAAATCAACTTTTATTCTATCATATTGACTTTCAGCTCAAGGAGGAAATCCGAATCAATCGAGTTCACAAACCCATTGAAATGACAAGTGGAGAGCCAGAAAATTTTGCTAAAGGTCACATCCATGGTTGGGGGGTCATCAATTCCACTGCTGCTGCTATTTCTCACTATTTGCACGGGTTGCTCTTGATAGTTTTCAATCGTGAAACTTGTAAAGATTATTATCCATCGGAACGAGTAACTAAGGATGAATTATGCATAGTAGACCCTCGTGGGGGTTCCCTTTGTGACGTAAGTACTACATGAGGAGCCCAATGACACACTGTTGAAAAAATTTGCCTGAATTTTGCGAAGAAGGACCTAGAATTCGGTTTAAGGAGAAGCAGTCAATGGAATTTCAAGTTTCTCTGAAAATTCAAGTAAAGTTCCAATTTTTTAGCGGCAGGGAGATGGAAGTTCCGTAATTTACGTGAATTTTCAATTGACAATATTTAGTTACAAATTCCCTTGAATTTTCAGGGAATTCCTTTCAAACTCTCGGAATTCTAGAAATTTTCAATGAATTCTCCGAATTTTTCATCAACTTTCCCGGGATAATTAAACTGAAAATTTTTCAATGAAATTATGAATTTTTAGTACCAAACCACCATGAAATTTCAGTGGAAATATGACTTGTTAGAAGCTTCCAAGACGCTTACCGGCAATTTCGGTGTAAAATTTTCAACAGTGCATCCTCTGAATTCAAGAGTAGTTTTCATAGCTAAATATTTTTCGAGCAGGGTGACAGCGGTGGTCCTGTTATTGTGAACGGAACACTCGCTGGGGTCATTTCGGCCGGTTCCTCACTCTGTGACAATTCAATGCCAGGATCTGCAATCAGCGTCGCCTACCACAAATCATGGATTGAAGATGTTATCAAAGGCACAGCGAAGACAATAACTTATTTCGTAAAGAATGCCACGGATACTACTCATCGTACGCATAGTTCACAGCCAAACGAAAAGCGAAAGAAGTCAAATCGACGGGATGAGCTCTCCTCGTGGCACCTGTTATATCGATGAACAAAACGTAGAAACAGTGGGAAATAGTTGATTCTACTGTCTGCTTGATACTCATCTTGTACTCTAAATTCACTGAATTCCCAATAAAGTTATATCTCGCCAATCAAATTTCTTTGTTCACCCTTTCCTGTTCCTTTTTTGTTATCTTGCAGTAGGGTGAAAGCCTTTATGGAATTTTCAAATACTGGGATTCAACCACATGCATTGTTGAACTAAAAATGAAATTTATTGAAACATGTTTATGAGGATGACATTCGATTCAATTTATGGAGGACAAAGTCATGAAATTTGAAATTTAAATGAAATTCGAATGAATGAATTCTCAATCAATTGAAAATGTAACAATATATTCCTTATCTCCGTGTTGTTACGAAAGTTTTTTCTTTGTTTTACATCTACACATGCCTCCCTCCTCCACCGTGTAACTGAGTCTATACATCTCTCCTCTTTCTCAGAATAACAACAATAATAAAGAAATTCAAATAATTACAACAAATTCACCTCAAACTCACGTAAACAAGAATACAAAGGTAAGCAGATGTTGCGAGAAACCAACGCGGACATCTACACCGTTTTGAAATATTTTTAAGAACATTCGCAAGTAATTTAAGAAAATTTTCACAAATGACAATATATTACGATCATGCTGAAAGATGCGTCTCCGATGCTTCATACTTCCGCTGGTCCGGTTCCTCACGAAGTTCCGACGTTCCACTCAGTCT